GGGGGGGGGGGGGGGGGGGGCTGGGGGAACAACGCTTGTCTCTATCCCAGCCTTTGACTTTAATGTCTGTTTTCATGTCGTACAAGACCATTGTGTTTCATAAAAAAATTAAAAAAAAAAAGAAAAAAAGAAAAAAAGAAATTTGGACTGTGGTTTGTTTTGGCTTTTTTTTTAAAAAATACAGACGTTGGCACAAATGATCATATGTTTGAACACCGACTAAACACAAACTGACACTGAAGACACGTGTCCTCAGGGAATGTTAATGTAAACATGTAGTGTACTGTATATATATATATATATATATTTTACTTCTGCACGACTATAAACAGAAGAATCCACAAATAATTCCCACAAAGTCAGGAAATATTTAACTGCTAAGTTAATGCTACGATTAGCCTGAAAGTAAGGACGTAAAGAACGATGTATAAATTTCAAAACATATTCGTTGAAATGATTAGTTTCAAACTCTTAATACATGACCTTTTCTTGATTAAAAAAGTTTTTAAATTTTAAACTAGTACACCTAAAGTGGGCAGTGTTTTCAAGCCAATCAAAGCACTGAGATTAATTTAAAAAAAAAACAAGAAAAAAAAACGTTCAATAAAAAGAAAGATCTGTATTGTGGATTTTTTTTAGTTTTTTTTATATACAATTGTTGGCTGGGCATGACCAAGTGTTGAAACCAAAATTGAAGACAGATTTTCTAAGAAAATGTTAAACAGTATTATCACAAAATCCGAAAAGTTTTTGGTTTAAAATGTCAGGCTATTATAAAAATATATATTGACTGCTCTATTTATGTATTTCTATATATTATTCATGTTCATATTAGACATTGCCGTACAACTCATAGTCATTGTGTTCAACAGAAGAAGTCAAACCAGGCTGTGGATTGTTTTGTCTTTTTTCAAACACACTCGTTGGCTGAGGACGACCACAGATTAGCATATGTTTCAACGCCCGCTGACGTGAAGCCAAGTGTTTCCCAGCTCATGTTAGAACTAATTCAGTCAAGATGGGCCTGAACTGGAAGAGGGGACTGTTCGGCACACAACGGTACCAGGACTAAATAAAATCGTTTGAATCAAACACCAAGTGAACCGGCAGTCGTGGCCGAGGCCTCGAACGACCGCATACTGACTCTAAGGCTCATATCAGACTCAGCGCCATCTTCAGACTCAGACCCACGGCAGGCATGACGTCCCGTGTAACCAAACACATCAGCTGAGACCTTTTGAAAGGCCCAACGCTCGGCTCCTCGGCAGACGATGCCAGGAAACATTCAGCATGTAAATAAATTAAGCGCAGAGATACAATGCATCCCTGTTTGAATATTGTCGAACCCAAACAGACTGCTGTAAAAGCCACCATTGTTCTGCCGAATTAAAACAGAGGCTGCACTGAGCTCACATTCACAAATGTCTCTTGCAAAATACAACTTGTATTAGAGTTGGCGAGTGGCTCTAAGAGGAGTGGGGAAAAAAACAGTTCAGACACTGTCAGCTACTGAAAGCTGGAAGCAAACACCTGGACAAACTCACCGCGTGTGTTTACTTTTTCTATGATCAGATAGTTCCAGACTGGTTTGGCCGCGTTTAGACTTAAAGAAATCTGCCGCAGCTGCATGTGTTTATACAAGATGAAAGCTAAAGGACGTCTTCTGTCGCGGTGAAGAGACGTTTGTGAAGTAGAAATGTGTTTATGTTTGAACACGGTGTTGATAAGGAGCAGCTATTGTACTGATGAACTCAAATGATTTCGGTTCTACTAAACCTGACCGATATCTGTGGAAAAAAACGTGATTAATTTCTTTTCAAAATGTGTCATAAACCATGAGGATCACAGAGAGTTATTAAAGTCTCAGTTGGTTTTTTTTCAGTTGATTTAATAGTTTTTTATCTCCACAGTTTTGCAATCCGGTCATGGGCCCCAACAGAGAGTCTGGCGGGCCGGATTCAGCCCACGCACCACCAGTTGATGAAGAGGTGAATTCTTACATAAAAGAGTCAATCGTTAGTCTAAAGTCATGACATTTTTTTTATAAAAATATAACTCATATAACTCATCTTAGAGACTGTCATGTAAAAAAAACAGGATATTTATAGCACCCCCTATAGGTAAGGAACTGTAGCTTCATGCAGCTTTTTTTCACTTTCCAAAATTTCCAAAAAGAGAAACAGTGGCATAACCTGAGTAGTCATGGATAATAATCAGGGTTTACTATTCCCACAATGCATTGTGGTAGAGTAGTGGTTCATTTTGAATGGTTTTGATTATTTCCACGGTCAGTGGTTATTTTTCTGATTTGTCAACTCGTTATTAGAATCAATAAAATGCAGAATATGTGAAACATGTGAGTGTTTTTTTTTTGTATTTTCTCTGAAGTTTTTAATCAAAATGTTTACCAAGTGCACAACCTCTCACACACAGATCAAAAAAACAAAAATCTGTCACTGCCTTAGGAGCAAAAACTTCCATTAGTCACAAAGAGAGACCCCCGTCCTCCTTTTCCCCCGTCCTCCTTTTCCCCCGTCCTCCTTTTCTCCCACTTTTCAGGCTACTGCGTGATGCAGAGCTGCAGCAGCAGCATCTTGTGGTCCAATGTGTTTGTAAAATGTTGTTCTCGTTGTGGCTTTTGGTCAAAGTTGCAAATACATCTGGATTTTCAAACATCATGCCAGCATCTGACGTTCACGTGTCCCCGAGCTGCACGTCGGAGTTTGCGTGACATCGTGCAGCAGAATCATCAACATGTCACGAGAGGAGGAACACCGAGGAACACCGAGGACCATCGAGGAACCCTGAGGAAAACTGGGACTCAAATAATAATAATAATAATAAGGAAAAAAAAGAGTCGTTAATCCCTGTGGATTAAAAGTGTCTTCTTCAGAAACAAATCTTGAATATATATAAATGTGTAAATCTGCGTGTGTCGAAGCGTTAGCAGCATTAGCAGCGTTAGCAGCATTAGCAGCATTAGCAGCGTTAGCAGCATTAGCAGCGTTAGCAGCGTTAGCAGCCTGGTGATTTAGAGCTTTGTTTCCAGAATCAGACGACGAGCTCCGGGTGGAGAAATGGGCCACTCCACATGTGGTGACTGGAACACGGCCCACGAGGAAATTTAGTTTTTACTCTGAGTTAGAAAGAAAATGTATCATCGTAACAAACCACGTCTATAGAGTGTGATGTCATCAGTGATGTCATCAGGGAGTAAAGTGAGCATTTATAACTACTAAGTGCATCATATTCAATAATTATAATCACTATTCTATAAAATGCACTTTATTTTGGGCCATCATTAGGTGTTGTTTTTTATTTTTATATTTTCTGCTAAAGATTGTTTCAGGTTTTATGGTTTAGGAAAAAAACTGCGAAAAAGTGCTGAAAACAGAAGTGTTTTTTTTTACTATACTGATTGAAAATAATAATAAAAATAATTTAAAAAAATGATCTGTTCTTTTGGATCAACTCCTACAAATGTTAGCTAAAACAAGGAACATTCTGAAAATTTTTT